CCCCAAAACCCCAAAACCCCAAAACCCCAAAACCCCAAATGGTGATTTTTTAGTTGAAATAATTAGTAGAGTACGAATTCATCATAATCTAACTAAAGTTTGAAGGAAAAGTACGATTAGCACTACTCCAATTACTTTCTTTGCTTTCTGATAGGTGGAAGAACACAGATTCTTAAATATTTAGCAATAATGCTTACTTGAATTCTTTTATAGATGAAATCGACTCTTCCTTTTTAAAATCGCGCTATAAATTAAGTTTAGCATCCAAAAGAAATGGCGAAATATATCACAAATTTAATGATAAATATCTAACTAGTCTTAGTAATATCCAATGAAGCTAAATAAGATTGGTGAACAAAGATCTGGGTTAGCCTACCTTCTTAATAACTTTGTTCATTCTGATTATCTTTTTATCCCTGAGCTTCTTGTTCTATGTATTATTTTTACTATTTTACCTCAAATCTTAATAATCTGTGGCTGGTCTTGGCCTCAGAAGAAGAGTCTTTGCTTGATGAGACTTCTTTGCTAGCCTAAATAGAGGATTAGGAAATAGAAATAGAAATATGGCTGAAAGAAGCAGAAGCTGGTATGTTTGAATGTAGTCTTGATATGTGGAAATATAGAAAACATACATGATTGGTTTTATAGAGGGGGTTAATAACTTAGTAGTTGTTCCTAAATTTGGTATACAGAGAGGTATAGATTTTGCAGGATAAGTCGGGTTTAAAGATTTAATTAGTTCAGAACTCCTTGAGGCTTTGGGAATAAATTGATTTAGAAAAGCTAAACGAAAATAATAATACTCTGAAAAATTCGATATTGTTTTAATTTTGGAGGGCACTCATGAAATTTCTATTAACCTTAATAAATTTTAAACAAATTGGGTACCAAAAAAAAATTTGTTTGCAATCCTAATGAACAGCTAACCTCACAAAAAACTAAAGTTAAAAGCCAATGGCTCCAATGATAAGAGGAGAATACACTATACCAAATAAGCCACGGCTAAATATTTTATTAAAATTTCATTTCACCATTGGTTGTTAAGGAAAATGTCGACCCTGAAGGTCTTTAGAAGCTTCAAAACCATTAAGCTAAATAGAGCTTTTACTGTAATTGAATCGATGTGAAATTTTTAGAATATGTCTTTATATGGAGAAGACCATGAGCAAGCTTTGAACACTCCTTAATATTATTAGCCGACTTCTTTTTCAATTATTCAAAAAGTAATTCATAAAGATGGTTAATACATTAAGAGATCCTTTAGTAGAGAGCATATTTACCTTTTCAATTTCTGAAGTCGATTTTGTCGAAGGTAAAAGAGAAAGCCCAAGATGCATCTTTTTATGCTTCCATTCTTCTCCTGGCTTCCCCTTAAATTTTCTTGTTATGAAAAATTTCTTATTTGAGGTTCTATATAAAATTTTAAAGCTGTTCTGGTTTTTTTACTAGATTTCCGTAATAACTAGTTAATATTTGCACACATTGAATAAAAAAAAACCTTAATAAAGCTCAGAATAATCCTGAGCTTTCAGTATCTTACATAAAATTCATTACAAGTTATGAAAGTTCAGTTAATCTTTGTCTAATATTTTTCGCCAAAAATTAAGTTAAAGAAACAATAAATGTAGAGTGTTTACTATGTCTTGAGAGTACTGCCTGATTTAAGAGCACTCCTGTAATTTTATAAGCTATTATCCAAAATCTAAACATTTGAGAATATCGAGCAACCTATCTCGCTGTTTGTTGCATCGATGATTAATTCACAAGTTATTTGTTCTAGAACAATTATCAAGGTATTTTGGACAAAGAGAAGGCCAAGCTTAACTTAGAAGAGTCCAAAATCTCTAAAAGAGTCTCCAAAATTGTCTTATGGTCCAAACTATAGGAAGTGTCTCTCATGGGACAAATTCCCATCTCCCACCTCAGCATTTTGAAATGGTTCTTTTCTGCCTTCAATTTTCTCTAAATCTTGAGTCTTTAACAGTGAAATTTTCTGAATTATTTAAAATCCTACTTTAAATAAATAGAGACTATATGTTCTCTATTAGTGTAAGGCTGGTCTTATTTTACAGTTAATATGAAACAAGGGTGCTCTCTTATCTCTGTTTAACTAGTATAATTCATTAAAAAATTCTAAAACTCGCATAACTCCAAATTGGTCACCACGATTGATGTTACTAAACTTCGGTATTTCAATAAGAAAAAGTATATAAAGATTTTACTGACCTTGAGAAAGCACTAGGAACAAATTTCTTATTTAAGGGCTTCATGTATATCCTCATTTTTGGCTTAGTGACGACTTTGTTAATTTTAACATAATCGCACTCCTTGTCTCTAAATATTATTGCTAGATCTCTTACCTTCAGAATTTCTTCCCATTAGAGTCCTTATAGCTTTTCACGAATTTTCTATACCAAAATTAATACAACTTTTTTTGTTCTTTAAGAACCTATTTTAAGAGATATTTAGGTGAAATAGTTCCAATTTTATGATGTTTGACGACCCAAAAATATCGCATAACTTACCTGAAAGATCTATATCATATTCTCAATAGAGCAGTCTTGAAGAAGGCGATCGTCTTTCTAGTTACATTGGAGTCATGCCTAGATGAAGAATGAGGAAAGTTGGGAGGAAGGACTTTTCGGCCAGGCTATTTTAGTAGCCATACTTACTCAAGTGTTGTACGATGAGTGGATCCATTCACTATAAAATATTAGAGATTGGGACTGAACAAGGTAGAAGAAGTGAAGAAAAAGACTTTATATTTCAATAGTAGAACTTTCGGTATAAGATGTAAGCTCGAACCTAATAGCATCTCACAGCTAACTCAAATTCTTGAATCAGCACCCAAAACCTAAAATCCATTCACACATTTTATGTGTCTACTACTATCCATTGAATAAAAAAATCTAACATTTTTCTTTCCAAGTGGAACAGAGTCTGTCCAACTCCCCACCTATACCATAACCCACTTCAGAGTTGGCCCAAACCCGAACAAAAGTCTTACCTGGAAGAAGTCTGGAGTGACTGCCTGAGTGAGAAGTTGAAGAAGGTCTTTGAGTGACTGGAGGGGGGAGGAACTGAGGAAGGAAGGAGGAAGGCTGGAGGGTGATGGGGAAAGGTACTTTAGGGATTTTGAGGGTGGATGTGAATTGGTGGGATGGTTCGGAGGTAATAGAGTGTCTGTGGGAGCTTTTATTTCTTGATGGTGTTTTTGGAGGCTTGAGGATGCTTTTTATGCCAATTGGAGGCCTGGCTGAATTTTGATTTATGAGTTTATTAGAAATCTTCTTCGTCTATACAAAATTATGAGCAATGAATTTGGAGTCTTGATTTCTTATTTCGGACTCATCATATGATATTTAAATCAAGTTGTTCTTTCCGACAAATTTCAAAAATCAGAATCGATATGAAAATTTTTATCGAATGATAAACCTTAAAGCCTGTTGAAGCATTAGGTTAACACAGCTCTTAAATTTTGAGATTTTCTCAGAATTTGTGTTTACTATTAATATATGATTCCCAATAAAAAATCCAGTTAAATACTATTTCTTTGATCATTTAAAAATTTGAGACTAATTGGAGGGGTCGCCAAATCATGAACATATTTGAATACTAGGTTATCTTCATACTTGTTTGGTATTTATATCATAAAAGCATCTGGATTTATAGAATTTCTGTGCTGAGTTTGGTCTTACGATTCAAGATTTTCGAGCCAATAATTTAGTATCAAACAAGAATAGTATCTTTGAGTAGAAGAGAAATAGAAATTTTGCAAAAAAATATAGCATTCAATGAAAATTTGTACTACAAAGAGAGATTCATAAATGCTTCAAAAAATTTCAATATGAGTAGCCTGTAATCTCTTGGTGAAATCACTTAAGTAAGACAAAATTCTCATGCTTAATCGAGATTCACAAAAATATTTTTACTTTTCGAAGGAAAATTGCCGAAATTTTCCAGCATGTTTGAAAAATTTTACTCAAAATAATTGAAATTCACGGGTTTCGATAATATACAACCAGAATTATTATGTTTAGATGCTTGACAATTCTTGAGAAGCTAAAGATTAAATTTCTCTCTCTCAAACTTGTAGGTAAAGAACTGGCTCACTCGCAGGTTCTTATAGATGGAAAACACTGGATTAAAATACTAATGAATAAAACTTATTACTTCAACTTGGCTCCTTTATTGTAAGATTTTTCCTATTCATGCGTAAATTTTTGAAGAACCAACTTTGAATGGTATTTTAACAAAAGGAGCATATTTGAGAATTAGGGTCAAGAAAAGTTAAAGGAGTGCTACCATAAGAAGTCTTTAATCATCATTATTTAAGTCTAGTAGTAAATTCTATTAGGGCATGTTTTGGAATAATATGACCTCTTTATTATTTTGGAGGTATTCAAATTTATGCTTTATAGGACTTAATGGAACTTTTACTAATTCAAGTTGATAGCAAAATATTGAATTATAGATTTTAGAAAAATAATTATTTAAAGCAAGTGTCTTTGCTGTTTAAATATAGCTTTGTGAATAATTTAAGGTTAGCAAAATGAGCTCTTTTTGGGCTCATCTCAAAATTATAATAGGGATAAAAATTGAGGAGTGCTTAGTAAGCACTCTTTTCATCCTATGGTATTAAACTTTAAAGCAACCGTGTCCAATTTAATAAGTGTTAAGCTTTGGAGTTGCCAGTATCATCTCCTTCATTAAATTTCTTTCGAAAGGGACTCAATTTAGTAGAGGAGCTTACCTTGAACACTTTTTTATCGAGATCTGCACAAAGACTTCTCTTAACCCTTACTTTTTTAACAGTTGTAAAGCCTTGCAGTCTTTGCCCATTTCTCGTGTTAAACAACACCGATTTTGAAAAATCCATTATTAATTAAGTCGCCTAATTTATAGCTTATATTTAGATCTGGGGTTTTGGGGTTTTGGGGTTTTGGGGTTTTGGGG